ATGATACATATTCTCTAGGCCTTTTAGAAAACATGGAGTGGCCACATATGTGCAAATCTATAAGAAAGGTAATATTGTAGAGAGAATGGGTACTGTTCAAGAACGAATGCTCCAGGGACCAGCAGATAGCATAATAGCTACTTTGCTAGACTCCCATGTAGTCGACCGCAGTTTGAGTCCCAGTCCCGGTGGCTTAAAACTCACACCAGGCACGTGTACGTATGTGCCCAAGATCCCGAGAGGAGAATGGAAGAGAAGGGATTGTGGCATGGCCATCTGCCCTGGGGGGGGGTGATTTCTGGCTTTCTGTCTCTCTAGTGAGTGCACGTACCCTATAGCAAAAAAAATAATAATAATAATAAAAAATAAGGAATGCTCCACAAATGGTATACCATGGAAAAACTGGAAGAGTCTACAGTATTACCCAGCATGCTATTGGCATAGTTGTAAACAAACAAGTTAAGGGCAAGATGTTTGCCAAGATAATTAATGTATGTATTTAACACATTAAGCATTCTAATAACAGAGATGGCTTCCTAAAACTTGTGAAGGAAAATGACCAGAAAAAGAAGGAAGCCAAAGAGAAAGGTACCTGGGTTCAGCTAAAGCCCCAGCCTGCTCCACCCAGAGAAGCACACACTGTGAGAACCAATGGAGAGGAGCCTGAGCTGCTAGACCCTATCCCAACGAATTCATGGCGTGATAGGTGTTAAAAATAAACTCTGGTCCATAAAAATGTCTTTCTTAATTGAGTAGAATTGTGCTGTTCCCTCTAAAGCAAATTTTAATTGGCTCTGATTCATTTTGTAATATCTTTTTTCAAATACAGTGTTTTTCTGCCTGCAAGAAGGTGGCTTATGCCACAAAAAAAACTCAGTTGGTTAGGAAAAATAAATGCATGCAGACAGACGTGAACACACACATGCACATATACATTCGAAAGGAATATCATTTTATAAGCAGTGACCTAGGAAATTAATCAGTTTATATTAGCTGATTGTGTATCAGTTTACTATGTAGAACAAATATTCCGTTTTTTCTGGAATTCTGTTCCATTTGGTGAGATCTATTACAAGGATTACTTTTGAACTGTTATTCATGTTACATTTAAAACCATTAAACTTTATATTTAAAATTAACACTTCTTTTTTAAAGAATTAATTTAATTTTTTTTTTTT